GGTCACAGAAGAAAAAACACTCACTAAAACACACCTCTTCCTCCTTCTCCTGCATCCTATATGTCCTCTATTTCCATTATTGGTTCACAACATTTTTGTCCTAAAACCTCATTCATTATTTAGTTAATTTTCTTCCCTCTCTTTCCTACCCCAAATCAATTATCTTCTCTTTGCTTTCCCCACCCCACACTCAAGAGCAGAAGTCATATTTTGTGCAATCCAGGGATAAATGAAAATGTGGAGCTTTGTTTTATCCATTCTGGCTGCTATTAGAGCATGCCATAGACTGGGTGTGAGGAAGGCCTGAGGCCTGAGCCTAAGCAACTCCATTTTTAAAACTCCAGTTTGAAACCTGCAGTCTCACCAGGCACAACCACAGAGCCCTCCAGTATGGCCCATCACCCGATAAACAGAGTTAAGCCTTTGGCAGGCTGTCTTCAACTGATCAGAGGGAAAGGCAATAAGACCACAGTGAAGACCACAGTGAAGACCACTAGACCAGATGTTTCTGACCCTAGGGTAAATGATGTCACTGAGAAATCTGGTGGTAGCTGATAAGGATTGAAAAGGGGAGTCAAAAGTCCCAAAATTTAGTATAAATGATAGAGCAAATGAACAGAGATTCAGCCAGCTGATCTGGAGGGCCTGATGAGGACCTGACATACCATCACTTGTCATTGCTTCCTAATTCTCTGTGTGATCCTCACCACTCTTAAACTCTACCACCTGGTCTGGACCTTGGTGAGAGCCACAACTCTTTCCTACGGCCCTCTCCTCAATCGGTCATCCACTCCACACCAGGAAAAGCCTGCCTTGGTTCTGGACTTGATCACCGTGGTCTAAGTGAGTGTGCATCTGCTGGACATAAAGCCTAAGACTTAAGATTTTTGAATTTAGCATGTAGAAAGAATGTCTGTCATTAGCCTGTCATGATTAAGTGTGTATGCAGTGCTTAGAATTAATCTAGAATCATTTGCTGTGAATTAATTAATGTAGAATTGTTTGCTGTGAATTGATCATGACTATTGCAGTGCGTAGCATTAAGAATTGTCATTTTCTTGATTAAGAACCTATAGAGTGAAATTGTATTGAGTGATTTGAGTGAATAAAGCATTGAAAGGGGCAAAAGCATTTGGACATTCTTTATTTTTCCCCTCAACTGCATATGTCGCAATTTTGCCCACTCATGACACTGGGAAATTTATAACCACTAGAAAATTATTTTCCACATTATTTTAAAAATTATTTTTCAAATTATTTTTGGACAGTTCAAGATCAAGGTAGATTTGGTTTGTAGTTGAACCTATATTTTTATTCATCAAAGGCACTTTCAGAATGTCTACACACGATAGAAGGGTTATTCAATCTCTCTGGGGTCCCTTGTATAAATAAGGCACTGATCTCATTTCTGAGGGTTGAAACAACATGACTTAATCACTCATCAAAGGTCCCACCCCCTAATATCATCACATGGGTGGTTAGGATTCCAGCATATGAATTTATGGAAGACATACAGATTCAGATCATAGCAGGTTTGTGTTCAAAATACTCTTTCAGGGAGTGCTCTTAATGGTACTAATGTACAAAACTGTTTCATTTCTATGGAAGGTTATGTCTCTGAGCTTTAATTTTGCTTCCTAATGTTGCAATCCTTGGGCACAGGGATACTCACAGGATGATCGCAGAACTCTTAGGCACTTGGGGGCCCCACTTCATGACTTCATGCAAGCCACCCACTGGTTGCCTGGTTCCTCCTTCCCTAGTTGTTCTAATGATCTTTGCCTTTGCTGAACTGAAGGGGAAGTTAATCTCCCTTTCCTTAATGGTTACTCCAACACTTGGCACATGGGTAACCACTGAGAAACTGGAACGAAATTATGTGGAGATGCATGTGGTACTTGGAACAAGAGTGGGCAAGAGGCTCACCCTGACCAGTTACAAAACTACTTGGTGCAAACTCTGGAGGGGATAGCTGCACCTATATTTGGCCCACACACTATTAGGTGTATGTCCCATTCTCTGTTTGTGCCTTCAAGGCATGAGATAGTGACAGGGCTAATGACATAAGGGGCCTTCAGTGAGACATGTTCAGTGCTGTGGTGGCAGGATGGAGGTGGAGAGGCAGAGTATAGAGTTGCCAAGGCCCCAGACAGTGGGGAGCAGGTGGAGGAGTGCTGAGGATTCAGGTGAGGTTGTGGGAGGAAGAACCTTTCATAAGCTGGGGAGGCTCCTATGAGCTCCTATGGAAGGTTCCTTGAACTTCACTATGAAACACTAATTCAACAAAATTACTATGAAATTCAAGGTGCTAATCAGGGAACTTTGAGTGTATTACTCAAGTGGCTGCATGCCCCAAAGAGCCAGCCCTGGATACATGATCCGGAGACTCAGTAGATGACACTGTTTCAGAGGACAATCATAGGGGATTCTAAAAAAGGAAATAAAGTAACCAGTGATGTCAGAGATATGAATGAGGTGCAGTCGGGGTGGGGCAGGGAAGAGGACACATGGGGGATAATCCAAAGGTATTACAATAAGAGAAAATAGTTAAGATCCTGAGTTCCATACCCAGCAATAAAAGAAGTACCCCTTGTGGTAAGGAACTTTTCAGAGTCACATGTGACTTTTTCCATAGCAGTTGAACTAGGGGAAGATGACCAGGATGGAAATTGTGACAATGAGAGAAGTTAGAACACTGGGCAGAGAGTCAGAATAGCAGGGGAAATGGGAAACAGAGTAGGTGCTCAGGGTTTTGGGAGGGAGCAGATTGTCTTTGTTTCAGGCAGAAAAGTTTTGTGTTTTGGTTGAATAAGGAAGTCAGAAGAGAGTTCTGTGGAGTAGGTTTGTTTAGAAGAGAAACCAAAGGATGACTTCTCTGAGAGAAAGAAGTAGCATCTGCAAGGGTCATGCTGTTTCTGCTACTCCCCTTCCTATTTGCTCTCTTCCCGGGAGGGGATATTGGTAAGAACCGGGGCAACTGACCAGGTGTGTGTGTGTGTGTGTGTGTGTGTGTGTGTGTGTGTTGATGGTAGTTTCCCCTGCACACACCTGGAGAGAACGAGGGCCAAGCTGGCCCCATTCTGCATGTTCTTACTCAAGCCCTCTGTGCTCTCATGGAGGCTGTTGATTGAGCATGGGACCCTGGGGGCCAGCAGATGTCAGCTAAGGTAACTGTGACTCTACATTTTTCCAGATTCTGAGTCTTCCATGGGGGCACCTACTTTCTCAAGTCTCTCTCTCCCAATGTCACATTTCTCCCCATTCTATCTATTCTTTTGCCACAGGGTTTGAGGAATCTATCCCTATCATCTCATGCAAACCTCATCTTTTCACAACCATTCCTTGGTACATGTGGGCTCAGGCTGGTTGGGGGAGCTGCAGACTCACAGATGGAACAGCAGCTCTGGTACCGTCATTTACCTGTATCCCTGGTCCAGGGGCAACTTCAGTAACAAGGAGTTGATGGATGTGGAAAGGTTGTTCCAGTTATACTTCAATGAACATCAGGACTTTTATATTTCTCAATTAATGTTTAAAGGTGAGTTCCCTTTCATTGTTGGGGAGAATAAAGGGATAAGGGTGGGGCATCTCAGTGAACTTTTATTCCTCAGGGAAACAGCCTTCTCTTCTCTGAAACTTATTCTACTTTCTTCAGCATAAAACTGCAATCACACTCTGGGCACGTACAATAAACAACAGATTCTCCAAAAACTTCTGTTTTTGCCACTTATTAACTATTCTCTTATTGGCTGCAGGGCTGTGTTTTACTAACTGACCTCAGAGGCAGCCTGTGGCCACTCTTTCCCCAATCTATAATCAGGTACCTTCAGCTTCCTCACTTGTTGGGTGACTCCTTAAAGGGTGATTTTCTCTCCCATTTAATCTCTTCAGTCATCCTTGTGTAAACTGTCAGAGTAACCATGGATACATTCTCCCAGGTTTGTTAGGGTCTCAGCTCTTTCACATTAAGGCCTTTCTCTCTCACACCATTGCTATCACTTTCAAACAATTCCCTCCCCTCCTGATATAGTCATCTTTTCCTCCACCTCCAGCTCCTACCCAGTGGCCTTTCTGTGAACCTCTGATCAAACCACACTTGGGTTCTTTCTCTTAAACTCCCCAAACTCCCTTCTGCCTCCACTCATTCCATTTTCTCCATTTTCTTTCTTTTCTCCTCTAATTCATGACTCTTCTCCCCCAGATCCCTTTGATCTGCTGGTGACAGCAGGCTATGAACTGCACTCTGGGAAGTCATGCCTAGGCTTCAAGCAGGTAGCTATACAAGGACATGACTTCATGAGCTTTCAGAATGAAACATTCTTATCATCTCCAAAGGGTGGAGAAAAGGCCCAGAAAGCCTGCAAACTGCTCAATTTCAAAGAAGCCGACACACAGAGGTTATATGGGCTCCTCAGTGACACCTGCCCGCGTTTCACCTTGGGTCTTCTAGAAGCAGGGAAGGCTCATCTCCAGCGACAAGGTCAGTCTTGTACCCAATCTTCAAGAATTTTTCATATTTAAAGTCAAATTCAGGATAAAAAGAGAAAAGGATAATGTGTGACCTTTCCAGAGTGGGAAACATGTGTCTCTGTAGATGTGTGGGGAGTTCTAAACTTCTAAATCTTTGTTACAGTCTGTGTCTGAATGTCCTTTCTGTTGTTTGCAGTGAAGCCTGAGGCCTGGCTGTCCAGTGGTCACAGCCCTGGACCTGGCCATCTGCTGCTGGTGTGCCATGTGTCTGGCTTCTACCCAAAGCCCGTGTGGGTGATGTGGATGCGAGGTGAGCAGGGGCAGCTGGGCACTCAGAGAGGTGACATCCTGCCCAATGCAGATGGGACGTGGTATCTCCAAGCAACCCTGGATGTGGCAGCTGGGGAGGTGGCTGGCCTGGCCTGCAGGGTGAAGCACAGCAGCCTAGGAGGGCAGGACCTCGTCCTCCACTGGGGTGGTAAGAGTGGGACCCAGGCTGGAGATGGGGGGTTATCTTCTAGAAGAGCATGAGGACCAGGTAAAAAATTGGGATTTACAAATTCCAGACCTAAAAAGAAGAAAAATATGTAATTCAAAGAATGGATAATCTTAAAATGAGGGACCTATAGATGCAGATTGAAACATCATCCTGGTATCCACTTGAATCTGCAGCACCTCAGAGTGCCCTGGGCTTGATCCTCTTTGCTGTGATAGTGGCCCTGGCTCTTCTGACAGGTCTTGGATTTTGGTTTAGAAAACGCTGGTGAGTTCTTTGTATCCATCTATTCTGTTTGTCCCTCCTCCCCAATGGTTTTCCCTTATTTTTTTTGACTTTTTTTCTCACTTTTCCTTCTTCTCCTGGCCACATTTCTATTTTCTCCTCAGTTTTCACCTTCACCTTATGAAGGTCTGATATTTTTTGTTCACTTAGGACCCACTGTGAAGCTCTCTGAAGTTCTGGCCCTCTGAAGTGAGGACCCAGTCTACACGTGAACACCACAGGGTGATGACATCACTTCAACTCTCCTTGTTAAAACTTTGCAATTCATTTCTGCTCCATGATCATTTACCAATACATGCTCAATGTAATCTTGCAGGATTTGTTGTTCTGACCTGGCTTCTGTGACTTCAACTTTGAATGTAACAGGATGTTAGCAGTGTCAGCCTGGATAGATAAAATGGATCATCAGATGCATTTCAGCTGTCACATCCTCCAGGGGTCCTTCCTTGATCCACAGTGGGAAGCCATCTCTCCTCCATCTGTGCTTCCCCAGATTTCAACTGTGCCCCTCACTGCCTAGCATCTGTGGCAGGTGTGTAGGTTCATTTCTTCTTTTAAAAGTTTGAGAGCAAAACACATGCTTTTTGAGTATCTGTATCCCTGGTGAAATGTTTGGCCTGAATATAACATGTTCTCAATAAAAACTGTGTTGATTATGTAAGATTTGTAGGTTTTGTTGTTGTTGTTGTTGTTTGTTTTACATTTTTAATTACCTGCCTTCTTTATACCTGTGTTGTAGTTGAAATATTTGATGCTCTTCTTGTTAAAAGTCTTGCTTTGCCAGGAAATTTCATGCATTGCTAGTTCTGCATTTTTTTTCTGAGTCTTTGAGGAGAAACATAGTTTTGCCTCTTAGCTTTTCTGTTATTTGATTTTAGGAAAATATTAGCATAAAACTATTGTTCCAAGTGCTCTAAACCATAAGAGCAGGGAAGGATGAAGGTCCTCCATATTCAGGGTCGCATATGGTCAAGCAGCAGATTCATTACATGGGAGTTTGGTAGAAATGTAGACTCTGTGGCCTGGTCTCAGACTTACTGAATTTCAGTTTTCATTTCAACAAAATCATAAGATGATTCACAGATAAATTAAATGTTGAGAGGAGAGTGGCACCTCAGTGTAGTGATACCTGAAATATGGCCCATATGCATCACTGAAGAGGGAATCAAGAATGAACAAAGTGCTGCCCTTGAGGATTGAAGTAGGTCCAGGTGAGTAAGGTGCATTCTCAGCAGTTATGTTCTCTACAGCTCCTGCTGCAAACACTGTTAGTGAACACTGAGCCATGCTCCTAGGGTAAATAGAAGGGTAGTTTTCTTTGAGTTTCTTTTCACAATATTTTTGTTAACTAATGAATACATAACCTTGTTTTTGTGTATTTTGTTTAAGAATTTTATTAAATATATATTTATAAGTAATTCATTGTTTGCAGTATTTCTTTGAACAAAAGCATTATTAGAAAAGTGTTTAACAATTTCCTGTCCCTGATTAATGTGATCCCAAATTTTCTAGGCTTTCAACCTTCCAACAATGCTGTCTACCACATAAAAAAAAAATCTGTTGTTACCTCAAGAAACCCCAAAGTTAGTTGTTTGTCTAGTGTTATCACAGAATTATAGTTGTCACTTTAAAAAGTAACTTCACCCACTGATCACCAAATTTGATCTTTCTTTTTCCAGTGTATTGCATTGTTCATTAACATTGAACTCCTAGACAACAGCATTATAACTATAACAAAAGCTGATCTAAAATACTTTATTCCTCTGTTATTCACATCACAGCCTTCTTCAGTTTATGAACACGAGATAGCATGTTAGAGATGTGTTTGGGGCCATTTAAATTGACAATATCAGTAACAAAGAGAACAAACTATGAAAAACGTGGCACTCACTAGGCCACATAGGATGCTCATAAGAAGTAAATCCTGAAGACATTTTTTTGACTTCCATAGGAAAGTTCTTCATTTAACTCCCATTTTGCACCACTCTGTACATATCTATGAATGACTGCAAAAACACTGTGAGTACTTAATTTGAAGTGATAAAAGTTTTCACTGGTAGACAAATGAGAAATTCAGAAATCCTGACTAATGGGGATTGACTAATGACCCCAACTGACAGTGAGAGTTAAGACATTCATGACAGACTTCAGTTACTTTAAAATCCATAAAGTGATATAACAAACAGTTCTTAGGCACCTACTATACACTTACTATGCAGCAGGTGCATATTGAGTATAAAATATTCGAAGGAAAAAAGATCATCACTGTGTTCTGATCTTGAAAATTTTACCTACCCAATTTGATTCTGCAGTTTATTATTTTCATTTTTTCTTTTGTTCTTATCTTCCTGGAAGGACTTACTTGAAATAAAATCAGGGAAAGGGACTTAGCCTAATTTTGCTTAGGCAGCTGAGAAGAGGGAACCCAGGAAAAGGGGAACATCTAGACAGACAAGGTGCAGGTGATATAGCACCTGTAAAAAATTGTCCCATGGACTTCCTCCTGAAAAATTTATTCCTGCATTCACTTGTCCTTCCTTCATTCATCACACATCTAGCTTTTACTATTTGTATGGCAAATATATTCACTTACTATAGTTCCAAATGAAATTAGGTTTGATTAGATTACAAATGCAGTGTGTAGATCTTATTTAAAGCTGACCATAACTGGGGGAATTTAGGGGGGAATAGCCCGGATACAGACAAAATCCTCCATTTACATCCAAGTTTCATCTACAAAGCTCCCTACATGAATATATTTTACTTAAAAGTATCAAACTGAGTTTGCCTGCTATCTTAAAGTAGTGGGCAAAAAAATTATTTCCAACAGACAAACAGCTGTCACTGCAGGTGAGCATTCTACATCAGACACTAGAATCTCAATTTAAAACAGAGTGAAACAGCAAATTTTCTCTTTAAACACCTGCTGACACTAGTCAACTAGGTCACGTGGAGAGCTAAACAGTTAATCAAGGCTGTAAGGCTGTAGATATGGAGACTTTCTTAGGAATAAACAAAAAAGATTGATTTTTGAATTTTGTGTACATGTGTGACAACAGAACATGACAGCACCAGACACCTCTGTACAATTCTACTGAAGCAATTGTGGCAGAGGCTCACTTCAGTTTCATGTCACATCCTCTGTGCCTTTGTGCCTAGACTTTTCCTGCAGTGTGACTGGGACTCCTGAGAGAAGCTGCTTAGCATTTGTCAATGCTCAGATCTGCAAGTGTCAGTTATAACACCCCATGGACAATCCTTGACAATTAATGGGTGGGAGGTCATGTGTATGTACTTTTCTCATTTCTCTAGTAGATATTCAGAGACAAAATCAGTGTGGAGAATCAGAAGCCCCCAGCAAGATCAGATCCCAGTTTTTTTGTAGCAGTGACCAGCCTGATAACATCATGTATTGGCCTTTCCTCCTTTCCTGTTTTACCCTTCCTAGTGTCCCATTCATGGTCCTTGTTATCATGTCCCCAAATAAAGTTTTATCTTAAAAGCTCCCAATGCCAATATAGACTACTTTGGTTTTCTCTTCTTTTCTGTTTTAGGATCTCCACTGTAAAAAAAAAACCAAGCATGATCACTACTCTTATAAAGAATACTTTCAGTGCTTAGAAGTTTCCCTCATTGCTTCCCTTTTTTGTCAGTAACCTCTTAAAGGCAACCAATTTTCTGATCTCTAACATCTTAGACTAGATTTCAATTCAGTTTTTTGAACCTCACATTCTGGAATCTTAATGGTAAGTACTATGATATGTCTTGCCCACTTTCAAGTGGAATACATTTTTTTGCTGAACATTATTTCTGTGGCATTTTTTATGTTGTCCCATAACAGTAGTTCAAACTTTTTTATTTTTGTGTAGTATTATGTCACATTATTGTACAATATTCTGCTATAAATGGATATTTCAATTGTTGCCAGATTTTAGCTATTTTGAACAATACTGCTTTTAGATTTTTTGTTCATTTCTCTTTTCCCCTTTTTGATGGTACTGCAGATTTAGCCTAGTTACATAATATTTCTGAGCCACATCCCCTTTTATTTTTAAATTTTATTTTGAGATAGGGTCTTTCTAAGTTGCTCAGCATGGCCAGAAGCTTGTGATCCTCCTGCCTCAGCCGTCCAAATAGCTGGGATCACCTCTTTGTGCATGTCTGTATGAACATAAGCACTTGTTTCTCTTGGAAATATACATAGAAATTAGTTTTCTGGGCCAGAGATGATGTTTTTTTTTTTAAATTTCTCTATTTTACATTTTATTTTTACTTATTAACACATACTAACTGCACATATTAATGGTGTTTGGTGTGATATTTCTACGTAAGCATTTAGCATTCAAGGATCCAATCTCCTTTTCCTTTATCCAGCTCCTCCTTCCTTCGTAACTACTATTAATTACTATTCTATATTCAGGTTGAAACTTTTTAGCTTTTATGTATGATAGGAAATATGCACTACTTGTCTTTCAGTTTCTGGGCTTTTTTGTTTCATAGAAGGTCCTCCAGAACTATCCATTTTGCTGCAAATAGAAGTACTTTCTTTATGGTCTACTAATAGTCCATTGTGTATATATAGATTATAATTCCATCCATCTGTTGATAGGTACCTAGGCCAATTTTATATCTTAGCTCTTGTGAAAATTTTTGCATTAACATGACTATCTAGCTTTCTCTTTTGCAAGATGATTTGCTTTCCTTTTGATGAATACCCAGAAGTGAAATGGCTGAATCATGTAGTAGATCTATTTTCAGTTTGTTTGTAGAAACTCCATACTACACTGTTCTCCATGGTGACTGCACTAATTTACACTCTCACCAGCAGTGTGTAAGAGTTCCTTATTCTCACCAGCACTGGTAGGTTATTTATTTATTTATTCATTTGATTCTGGGGATTGAACCCAGGGGAATTTCACCACTAAGTTATATCTCCAGTTATTTTTTTTAAAAAATTTTATTTTGAGACAAGTCCTGATAAATTTCCCAGATTGCTGTTCAACTTGGACTCCCCTTTTCTGAGTCAGGGATTAAGGGAGTGTGCCACTGCACTCTCACAGTCATTATAAATGAGGTGAGAAGATTTCTCATTAGAGTTTTGATTTACATTTCCCTCATGGCTCATTATTAGTGAGTAGTTCTTCATTTATTTATTGGCCATTTATTTTTATTTGAGAAGTGCCTTTTTAGATCACTGACCATTTTTAAGTGGAATACTTTTTTCTTTTAGTTTCATATGTACTCTTTTTTTTCAATTTTTTCATTTGTTTTATTTAGTTATACATGACAGTAGAATACATGTATGCACTTTGCTATATCATACACAGATGGGATATAACTTCTCATTTTTCTGAGTGTACATGTTATAGAATCATATTGGTCATGTAGTCATACATATACATACAGTAATAATGTCTATTTTATACTACTATATTTCCTATCCCCACATCCCTTTTCTTCTCCTCCCTTCACTTCCCTCTACCTAATCTAAGGTAACACTTCTCTTCTCTAGTTCCCCCTGCCTTATTGTGAATTAGCATCTGCATATTAGAGAAAACATTCTGCCTTTAATTTTTTGAGATTGCCTAATTTCACTTACCATGATATTCTCCAACTCTCTCCATTTACGGTTAAATGCCATAATTTAATTCTTATTTATGG